GTTTTAATCTAAAAATAATTTTATTGCCCGTTACCAACCAGTCAATAAAACTGACCAAAAACCTAATACACAACACAGATTGTTTAAAATCACAAAGGGGGACCTCTATTGCATAGTATCTGTTCTGTTGTTTTTTAAAAAAGTTGTTTCTCTAGTAGACTTGAAGTCTATATATAGTTCACATTGTCAAGACAAGTGTGATCTTAAACCGAAGGAAAATGTATTTTCCTCTCATCCATTTTCACTAGGAAGAGAGCATTTGTGCGAGCTTCTCACACAAATTTAAAATAATCTTAACATACTGTTATTCTGGGACATACTAAGAATCTAAGAATCAAACTCGGGACAGGGACTAAAAGGTGTTATGTTATGGGAGTCAGGGTGATGTGATTATAGGGTTTTTGGGGTTTTTTTTAATTCTTTCAAAATTTCCTTTAATTTTATCTTTTTGATTAAAAAAAAAAGGTAAAAATCTGTATTTGGTCTCTTCCAGCAAGATCCTTTTACTTTATTAGTCTCAAAACATACTTTTTGTCTCTTTTCCAAGAAAAGCATTCAGTAGTTTTGCCGTACTCAATATAGTTTGGAATTAACAGGCCTGTTTGCTCACAGGTTTATCTAGCATCACAGACATGAGCACACACAGGAGAAGATTTCTAAGGGCATAAGACTCTGCAGATGACTCAGAGCAAAGGCAAGAGGAGCTGCCTGTCAACTCTGCCATATTTTAGGTTTTTTCACCTTACGTACATTACAGTATTTTGCTTAAAGAGCAATTCACTGCACATCAGAAACTTTTTCAGGCAGCTCACACAGTGGTATCTGAAGTGAGAACAACTCACTCCAACTCCAACTTTATTTACTGAAAGTCTTGGGGCCGGCCCTGTGGCTTGGTGGTTGAGTGCGCGCGCTGCAATGCTGGCGGCCCGGGTTCGGATCCCGGGTGTGCATCGAGGCACCGCTTCTCCGTCCATCCTGAGGCCGAGTCCCACATACAGCAACTAGAGGGATGTGCAGCTATGACATACAACTATCTGCTGGGGCTTTGGGGGGAAAAAATAAAATAAATAAAATCTTTATTTACTGAAAGTCTAGATTTAACACAGACACTGCTGTTCACTTCAAAGCCCAATAGTCAACGGAGGAGGTTTTAGGAAAGAAAAGGTAAGACCGGCTTGTTAATGTTTAATGATTTCAACTGTCCCCTCGCATGCCATGTAGTCAGTATTACTATGCATTTCAAATAGCTATTTACATATCTAAATTAACCTCATTTTTATTATGCAATCCCAATACTTCCCTACAATTTAGAGCTTATTATTCAAAAGACCTTGTTTCTTAAATCTGTTATTTTAAAAAAGTGTTCCCATGTTATGCAAACATTCTATCTGGAGAAACCACTAAGATTAAAACGTATCTTGAGGGCCGGCCCTGTGGGTTAGCGGTTGGGTGCACGCGCTCTGCTGCTGGCGGCCCAGGTTCGGATCCTGGGCACGCACCGACGCACCGCTTCTCCAGCCATGCTGAGGCCGCGTCCCAGATACAGCAACTAGAAGGACGTGCAGCTATGGCACACAACTATCTACTGGGACTTTGGGGGGAAAATAAATAAATAAATAAAATTACCAAAAAAAAAAAAAAACGTATCTTGATAGGTTTAGCACTATCACTTAAGCCCAAACTTATTAAATTTGGTAGAGTCATCTTACTCACACCTAGGGCCAAGCATCCCCATGGTGACAGCTACAGGAATTCACACGGATGAAGGAGAACTCGGAGAAGGTACTCCTGCGTTCATAATACGCAAAAAATCACAAACGAGGAAACTAATCAGAGGGCTAGAAAGATTAACTCTATTCCCTACAGAAGAAATATGCGTCGTGGTGAGAGAAGATGCCCTTGATTGGGACTCAGGAAGCCCACACTCAGGTCTGCCTCCATGAGGCATGCCTACACCAGCAGCGAGCCCAAGGCCTCCAACCTGGTCCGCAGGTCACACTGGCCCAGAGCAGAGGGCCACTGTGGTCCATCCAATGTCAACAAGCTGGGACTGCAAACATCAGCTCCATCCAAATCTAACACTAGCCATTATACTTAAACCATGAAAAAAATATTTAACACATGTAAGTTAAAAGTATTTTTATGTAACAAAGATGAAAGACAACAAATTCACCTCATTTAGCTGTTCATATTTGTTGCTGTTTACTTGCAGAAATTTTAGTGTTTCATGTGCTCTGCTTCACATGGTATCAAATTTGCATTAAAAAACAGCTTAAAGAAATACACATGCAAAGTAGGGTATTTCCAATTTTTAATTAAGGTCTGGGATTTCACAGAGGAAACTAATTAAACTATAAACATAATCAAGGGAAAATTAAAGACAAAAACTTACAATGAAGGCTAGGATGACTCTTGTCCCATGCAACCATGTGAAAATAACAGCCAGAAACAGTCTTCTTTTAAAACTTAAAAACTTTATTACCTATACTTTCCAAATTTCCTCAAAGATGCCCCAATAAGTCTCAAAATCTGAGCTGAATCAGCTGTTTTTCTTCACTAAGTTTCACGAATTCTACATAGCTGTCATTAAACACCTAGCAAGATTTGGAAGGTGGGGAGAGGTTGGCCCTGTGCATGACAGGACTCAATATATCAGAGGTTTCAAACATCACGCAGAGTGTGAACCCAAAAACTCAACAATCCACAGGGTGATACCCTATATATGTTTCCTGAGCAGAAGTAATTCCACTTGAAAGTCAGGAGACCTAATAACGCTCCACAAACCACTCCATTTGCATTCTGTCTTCCAATAACAATAACTAGGCGTTCCAAATAACGCTAAATAACGACTGCACACACATCTTAACTAGTAACACACCACTGTAGAGTTACAATGGTGATAGGTTACCATACATGAGATCAAATACTACTTCTAAAAGACATTAATATTTCATTAAAATGCCATCTTAAATTTAAGTCCATTCTTCTCTGCAATTTAAAGTTTATACTTCAGAGCAAATTGAGTTCTTAGGATAATGTAATTTATTTGTAATCATAATTTCCAAAAAGGCAGGACATACTTTTGAAAATATTTCTATATTATAGCACACAGCTTCTGTTTAGATTTGGAAAGCTCAAACCTCATAAAACAAGACCTCTACACATGCTGAGAAGAGGTTCCTCCATTGAAGCCCACCAGTTCACAAAGTGGCTGGTACCGTCTGGTGGCCAGGGGGCTACACAAGGACCACTGGTCCACAGGGCACCCAGCCTTCACACCAACCCCTGCTGAGGTGCTGCGCAGTTCCCAGGCCAGAGGCCAGCTAGACCACATCTTACCAGCTAACCCAATCTTCCCTCTGCTTCCTCCTCTCAGTCACACTTACTCACAGACTGTGCACCAAGCTGAACCTGATTGTGGAACTGTCTGGATTTCAATATCAAATGCTCAGAAAGGAATGGCAAATACAATATTCAGACCGCTGGGATGTAACAGGCACCAAAGACCTCACTTTTAAAGCAACTGTGAAGTCAGTTAATTATTCAGTTGGAAATCACGTCACCGATAAAGGACCCCAGAAAGCGAACACTCTTATTTTACTGATATTCTATGTAACCAAGAATGGTGGTCCCTGCCGAAAGAAAGCACAACAGGCTGTCCTGGGACTCTGGGCCTCCTTCTACTGCTGCTCTCACAAGACATCGTGTTAACAGCTCACTAAAGAGCAAAAAACAGAAGCCCTCTAAACAATATCACAACTTAAGTTTTAATCTGTAAACAAGACTCCAAATTCCAGTTACCATTTTGACAGAGTAGGAGGTCTCACTATGTAATATACTCGTTTCTTCATGTAAATATCAACTCTATCAGCCTCAAATATTAGAAATCACTGGTTCAAACTGCACAGTCCTAACCTAATGACGCAAATGACGCAACGATAAAATTTTCATAGGTTTGGCCTGAACCCTAAACATAAGCGCTGCATCTTCACACTCAGTCGTTTTAGGTGAGTCTGAGGGTCTTGACAGAAAGCCCATGCTGCGGAGAGATAAAATCAAGGGTTTCACTTCACACTTGTAGCTGTTCTCAAGATCCTAATGACTATTAAACGTCTTAATCAAATTTTTGTCCTAATAAAGCATAAATCAGCTCATCAATGATTACAGCATTATAGATCCTAACTAGACAAAGCATGCAAAGGTCAGATGAAGAAAGTTTTTAAGTGACTTCCCTATACTGACAGTTCCAGCTCCTCCCAAAATATTACGAGGGTCTGGCAAATCACAGTGAAAAAAACATCAGTTTTTGCATGGCGTATCCAAAATAAGGCTTTTAATCTTAAAATTCCCTGGAAGGTGCTACAGTAAAAAAGGTGTTCAAGACCCTGGACGCCAAGGTGATGTAGACAGGCTGTCCCCTAGGAGGGGGCCGTTAGAGCTGGGCTCCCAGAAGATGCACAAGAAGGTGTGGGGGCCCACGGGGCGGTGGGGGAGGCAGACGCAACCAGCACACGCGGCTGCCCCTACAAGCCAGCAGAACGTGTGGGGGTGAGGAACTCGACGCTGACTTTGGCCCCCAAAGCGAGAAGCGGGGGTGGGGGTGGGGGCGGATATCCCAGGGAGTGCTGCAGGAAATGATATCCAGACTCGGAGGGTGGATCTAGGAAGCGGCCGGGGCGATGGCCCGGCGGGGTGGTGGGGGTGGGGGTGGCAACGGAGAATATGGCTCCAAGGGGCAGGATGAGGGGGCGGGACGACCGAACGCGGATGTGCGAGGGCCGAGGACGAGGGCAGGGAGGGACCAAGAGCCGCGAACGGACGAGGGTGCAAGGAGCGGCCGCAGAGGGATGGGGCGGCGGGTCTGGGAGCAGTGACGAGGCGAGATGAGTGGCAGCCCGAGGGCAGGGAGGAGGAGGAGAAGACGGCAGGGTGGGAAGACGGGGAGCGCGGGTGGGGGTCGGAGGGGCTGAGGGTCAGGCACGCGCCCCGCGCGCACTTACCCCACTCGAGGAACTCGGCCACATACTTGTCGCGGCGCAGGGCCGACTGGCTGCACTCGGTGTACAGGCAGACGAGCACGTCGAGCAGCGTCTCCACGCTCAGGGCGCTCTCGTTGCGCCACGGCCCGTCCAGGAGCAGCTGCTCCAGCTTCTTGAGCCGCACCTTGGCCGACATGGTGCCGCGCGTCCCGCTCCCAACGCGCCGGCCTCTCGCCGCCCGCTC